AAGCAGCAGAAAATTCGTGCCGAATTTTACATTGCTGCTTATGAGATACGCGGCACGAATTATTTGTTCCGATATTTGATAATTGGACACGAAATGGAAAATTCATTATAACTAGTTAATTACGGCTCAGATGTAGGAGAAACTATTACAGGGGTATCGTTAGGGTCTCCTTCAAGTATTCCAACCGTTAAAATGAGAATCAGTTCCGAATCACATCGAGAAATAAATAAATAAATCCTAATCGAAGAAAAATGACTCGATCTCAAGGGACTGTTTATCGTCCCGTTATTCTAATTACATAATTACTTAAAGGACATTTTTCTAAAGCACTGCACTCTCCTTTTATCTTTCGCGACAATATTAGATGGGCCCAGACAAAAATCTCTCAACAATTAACTTTTTAGAGAAAGAGTTATTCGAAGCAAATTGCAGTGAAGATTTCTTCAAATAAAATCTTCTTGCGGATCTCTCCTTTAATAAATATATAATGTATAATATATATAATACATTTATAATGTTTAATATATATGGTACATTTATATTAATTTAGTTTATTTCTTCTGGATCCCCTTTTTATTCGCAAGATCTGGGAAATAAACAATTATAATTAGAGAATTCTAAAAGATAATTTGAGAGGGTTTCGTGCAGTGGCGCCATCTGTACCGCTCTCGAAGTTACCATTGTCGATAATTGGCGAACAGTTTGGACGTTTTGCCGCCGCACCGAATCGGCGCTGATCGATCGTTTGGGAGCAGCAGAAAATTCGTGCCGGATTTTACATTGCCTCTTACGAGATACGCGGCACGAATTATTTGTTCCGATATTTGATAATTGAACACGAAATGGAAAATTCATTATAACTGCTTAATTACGGCTCAGACGTACGAGAAACTATTACAGGAGTGTCGTTAGGGTCTCCTTCAAGTATTCCAACCGTTAAAATGAGAATCAGCTCCGAATCACATCGAGAAATCAATAAATCCTAATCGAAGAAAGATGACTCGATCTCAAGGGATTGTTTTGCATATGTAAATATGTTTTAAAGTGTATTACCGTTGGATTTTTCGAATGTTCGAAGCTCAAATTGAAGCTGGTCGAATGTATAATTTAATACAGAAAGAAAGATTGCGATTTGAAAAATAATTGTGGCGGCATAATAAATTCTCCCCAATTGATTCTCAGCTTGAAAACAAAAATGGACAATTTGGGCAGGGGGGATACGATTGTTCGAGCCTGGCGGCTCGTTTTTTACAGTTACCGATTGTCAACAAGCATAGAAACGAGCCGCAAGGCTTACGCCCTCTTCCCAAATCGTCCATTTTATTTATAAACTTAAACGCAACGAAAACCAGAGTTCTTAACACAGTCAAATTGACATATCTACGATTAATATGATATATTATTATTATTATATTTATATATTTATATTATATTAATATATTTATTATATTATATTATTATATTTATTATATTATTATTATTATTATTATTATTATTATATTATATTATATATTATTATTATATTAATATAATATGACATATCTACGAATAATTAACATCGATTTCTTCGGAAATAGAGCTCCGCATAAAGAAAGATATCACTCTACATTTTCGACTCGATTCTCGACGTAGATTCACCCCCTATCCGCTCGCGCCACCAGCTCGATAACACCCTGTACAATCAGCTGGCGCACTCGAAGCACCGAATATCTAGTTTCAATCATTTTTTAATCCGCGTACGAGTAGCGTCAAATTCATAACAATCCAAGCTTCGAGGAGAGTTTTAAAGGGGAGACTGTTCAGAGTTGCAAGCATCGGACTGTTTCCACACGAAAGTTTAAACAATTGTTAAGTGGAGGACGTCAAGTTTAACTGGCAAAACGATGTTTCCAAGAAATGTTGGTCAAGTACAATAAGTTCTCTCCAATTGTCCCTGGGCTTGTCAGCGAAAATGGACAATTTGAGAAGAAGAGGATACGGTTATTCGAGCCTTGGGGCCTGTTTTCACAGTTGTCGACGATCGGCGACTATGAAAAAGAGCCGAAAGGTTCGAATAATCGTGTCCTCTTCTTCCCAAATTGTCCATTTTTGCGCACAATTAGATCGCAGCGTCAATTAGGGGGCGCCGATAATAAGCATCGATTAGGGAGAAATTATTGTCGTCTCTTAAACGTTCCTATATTAGTTATTGACAATCGGCGACTATGAAAACGAGCCGAAAGGTTCGAATAATCGTGTCCTCTTCTTCCAAAATTGTCCATTTTTGCGCACAATTAGGGGGCGCCGATAATAAGCATCGATTAGGGAGAAATTAGCGTCGTCTTTCGAACGTTCCTATATTCTTAGAATATAATAATATTCTTCGATCTTTAATATTCCATCACGTTCGACGTTTTATCAACAGATGAACACGATCGGTTCGCGTAATTATTCACGAGTACTAGAAATTACGCGGCTGTTTTACACGGTGTATTTTCGAGAACGTTTCCCTGTCGTCGGTTGTCCATCAATTTCGTTCGACTGTTATTCCGGCCCACTGAGAACGTTCTACAGGGTGTCCCAAAAATGTCTCGCAATCCGGAAATGACGGGTTCCTCGGATCATTCGAAGCAACTTCTTCCTTTACAAAAATGTTCTCCGAGGCACCGTTAACGAGTTATCAACAAAAAACAGTGACCAATAAGAATCGAGTACGGCCGACGCGAGGCGGCCCAGCCAACCGGCGCGCGAAGCCCAGTTCCGCTCATTGGCTCGGTCGCCTCGCGCCAGCCGAGCTCGCCTCTCATTGGCCACTGTTTTTCGTTAATAACTCGTTAACGGTGCCCCGGAGAAAATTTTTGTAAAGGAAGAAGTTGCTTCAAATGATCCGAGGAACCCGCCACTTTCGCATTGCGAGCCATTTTTGGGACACCCTGTATAATTCCGCGGGGCACATAAATCGCCGCGGAACGAACCCCGTTAAAAGCATAAAAGTCGTTTCCGTTCGAAATATAATGGGCCGGCGTCTGTGAACAACGTCGAACTTTACTGTACGCCGCTGATATCGTTAAGGTGGATCGTATACGATGCGATAGAATGGCCGCGAGATAAGAAAAGTACGACGACCGCGGCTCAAGAATGGCCCGGAAAAACGTGTATGACGTTTGTATGAGAACGACGACACCGTGTAAAGGTATAACATAATGCTTTTGTGCCAGATAGAAAGCAGTTTTCCGGCGAAGCGAACGATGCTACTCGGCTGTCTGTTCGTTGATCAGGGGAATCGGCCGTGTCTTATAAACAATCGAGTTTAAGAAAGAAAGAAAGAAGGAAAGAAGGAAAGAAGAGAAAGAGAGAAGAAAACAAGGGAAAAGAAAAACGACAACTCCTCTTTCGTTTCTCAAATAGAAAAAAAGCCGCCCGCATTCTTCATTGGTACGATTGTATTACGGCCTGATTTTCTACGACGTCACTTTCTTTCAAACTCCGGACAATTGGTCGAAAGTGGAGCAGCCCCCTTTGTTCTATTTTTGATTATGTATAGCTCTGCCTAGCATCACATTCTTAAGATT